GGTGACTCGGTCAAGGACGAATTCTACCGGGACCTACAACAGCTTTTGACTAATGCTAAAAAGTCGGATGTCGTTATCCTTGCTGGGGATTTTAATGCACGGGTTGGCCGCCTGTTACTATACGAACGCTACCTTGGTGGGCATCACTCGCTCGATGAGAACCGCTCTGATAACGGAGAGAGACTTCTCACATTGTGCGAAGACAACCGTCTGTTTCTTTCAAGCACTAACTTCAGGCGTACGAAGAAGCGTTCCGCAACGTGGCGTCCCCCTTCTTCAATACAACCTTGGTCTCAAATTGATCACATTGCAATTAGCTTCAGATGGCGCGGCAGCGTACTGGACTGCAGGTCCTTTTGGTCCACCTTCGTCGACTCAGACCATGCTCTGGTCTGCGCGAAAATCTGTATGTGTTTTGGAGGATCCCGAAACACGAAGCACCGCAAGATTGATGTAAACGGATTAACTGATCCCTCTGTCCAGGCGAGCTATCAGTCTTCATTGGCATATGCACTCAGTTGCAATCCACCACAAGAAGTGGAACAACACTGGACTTGTATACGGAAGGCAATAACCATTTCCGGACAGTCATGCTGCGGCCTAACGCGACGCCCCTTGAAGGCTTGGATCTCTACTCGTTCTCTGGAGCTGTTCGAACGCCGCAAAGATATCCCGGCGGAATCAGATTGCAACGAGCGGCGCCGTTCTGCCAACCGGCTGCTCAAGCAAAGCCTACGCAAGGATCGCGAGACATGGTGGTCTGAGCGTGCTTTAGAGATGGAGACTGCTGCCCTCTCTGGCAACACTCGCAGGCTTTTCCAACTCATTCGGTCCACTGGCCTCAGGAAGCCTGGTGTCAGTGAGTTCATTTGTGAGGTGGATGAGTCTCCGATCACCAACCAACAGAGACGTATGGACCGCTGGGCCGAGCACTTTCACTCGCAGTTCAACTGGCCTCCACCATCCTTCAGTATATGCAGTACACGTTGTTGTCCACCCTGGCTCGTCCCTCTGAATCCACCAACCGAAGCGGAAGTCTGCCTCAAGATTCGACGCTTGAAGCGCTTCAAGGCTGCCGGCTTAGACGGGCTTCCTCCTGAACTATTCAGGTACGGCGGTGTGGCGATCATTAACCAGCTGACCACGCTGTTCGCAAAAATTTGGCATGAAGAGAAAGTGCCTTCCACTTGGGGAGAATCAGTTATTGACCCGATTTTCAAGAAAGGCGCTCGCATTTCATGTGCAAATCATCGCGGGATTAGTCTAATCTCGGTTGCCTCTAAGCTATTGGCATCCATTCTGCTTCGCAGGCTATCCCCAGTACGTGAATCATACTACCGTGAAGAACAAGCTGGTTTCCGTCCTGGCCGCGGATGCGTGGATCAAATCTTCACGCTCCGCCAGCTCCTCGAACATCGCCACATTTATCACAGGCCCACTATCATTGCATTTCTGGACATACGTGCCGCTTTTGACTCCGTTGATCGACCGGCTTTATGGCGTTTCTTACTTAAGAACGGAGTGCCAGAGAAATATACCGCCATCTTACGAGCACTTTACCTTCATACATCCGGCGGATTGAGGGTCTATGGCAAGCTTTCCTCGCAATTCGCTGTCAATAGCGGTGTGCGACAGGGCTGCCTTATGTCCCCATTCCTCTTCAACTTCGACATCGAAGACGTTCTGTCAAATGCCCTTGAAGATTTCCAACATTTTGGCTTAGAGCTTCTACCGGGTGAGCGCGCGACCGACTTAGATTATGCTGATGATATCGCCTTACTTGGTGACGATCCTCAGAGTATGCAACTCATTCTGAATCGTTTGGCGGTTGAAGCATCTAAGTATGGCATGAGCTTTGCCCCATCGAAGTGTAAAGTACTGCTCAAAGATTGGCTTTCACCTGCTCCCGTACTCACTCTCGATGGTGCACAAGTTGAACAAGTAGATAGTTTCGTCTACCTCGGGAGCTGTGTTTCTGCTGACGGCACTATCAGCAAAGAAGTTTCTCTTCGTATCGCTAAAGCTCGATCAGCATTTGTCAATCTGAGGCATTTGTGGCGTCGTCGCAACGTCTCATTCTCACTAAAGGGCCGCGTTTACAGCGCATCAGTTCGCTCAGTATTGTTGTATGGGTGCGAGTCCTGGCCGATTCGCGTGGAAGACATGCGTCGTCTTTCTGCGTTCGATAACGGTTGCTTAAGGAGGATCGCTCGTGTTTGGTGGCAACATCGAGTCAATAGTAATGACGTTCGACGTCGTATCTTGGGGAATGCGAGTATTCCCTTCAACAAACTGGTTTTGCTGCGCCAGTTGAGATGGCTCGGTCACGTCCTACGCATGGCACCTGAGCGTCTACCGCGTCGCGCTCTATTCGCTCGTCAAGGGCCTGGCTGGAGGCGACCGCGTGGTGGTCAGCCTTCCACTTGGCGGCAGCACATGAAATCGCTGACGTCGTGTCTAGCCGCTGTTGGATCCGTACGTCTTCCAGGATGGGGACCCAAAGATGAGGAGTGCCAATGGCTTAGCATTCTTGAAGATATGGCCCGCAACCGGAATCAGTGGAAGAATTGTGTACAGTACTGTATTGATTCACATGATTAATACTATAAAGATTAAAATGACAAAAAAGAGCAAAACCGGCGCGTGAAAAACAAGCTAAAAATGTTTTGTTCTACTTTTTATCAAAATGTTCCATTCTTCCTTGCGGCATATTAGTTGAAGTGTGTTGCTCACCTTCAACTAGCATGCCACGATGGTTAAAAAACACGACGAATCTTGCTTATCTGCTGATCTTCATGGTTTTTGCTGGCTCTATGTCTAGTCAATAGACTGTTGAGGCTACATACATACATACTACAAGAGCGACGACACTGTCGACTATCAACATGGGCCACAATACGTCGCTAGCTTGAAGATTGCTTACGTTTCTGTTTTATATTGTTATCAGACCCCATCACGCTTATTGTCTCATCTGTTATCCCCGATGAATCACGTAAATGCTGTCCGTGAATTTTCACTATCGGGATGCACCTGAATTCAGCCCGGTCCGTTGTTGCTTGCTGAGACAGATATCATTCTTGTCATTACTCATTTTATTGGGCAGGTTAAAACACTTCTCCGCTATTCTCTGAAGAAATTCGTTATCAAGATCGAACGATTGGTATCAGTGGTTGCCTTCTCCCTTTAATTCTCGATTTAGCCATTAGTAAGATGAACTGATAAATATTCTAGGTCGGACGTACCGCAGGTTACTGGAATTATTGTCAATGCATGTTAGGATAAACATGAGAACTGTTGCTGATTCAAAGTGGCGCCCTGCTTAAAGGCGTAGCCACCAATCAGAAAATTTTAGGTGGCTGATCCGAGTACCGTTCGTATGCAAACTTACAATCTTTTGAACTCACTTTGATATCTGATTGATTCAGGTCCATTTGTTCGGCATGCCTTGTTTGAGCTACTGACAATGTCTGTTGCCGCATAACTCTATATAGCTTACTGTGCTGCGTACGGGTATTGACAGTTTCCACACGTCAGCTTATAGCGCGACCGTCGACCATTAGGACTGTTCGGCACATAGCATTACAGTCATGTTCTTGCCGAACAACCTCCCCGTGGTGCCAGCTGGATGGTTCGGGATTTTCCCATTCCAGCAAATGGTTCGGCGGCAGTGTTCCCGGACGTGGTGGGTTTTAGCCTGGTTAGTGTTCTCCCTATAAAATGCCACAATGTCCGTTTAACAACACTGTGACGTGGCGAATGTGACTTGCCACTAAATAAATTCACTGCCCCTTACTTCATCCTGGCGAAGCATTGTATTCCAGCAGCTTAATGCTACAACTCTTGGGAGCATTGGGTGTTTGTTTGACAAAGGCGTATGAACTGAGTAATCAGTCACCGTCTCCCAATGGGCGCGATTCCCTGAATTCACAGCGATCCAGTCAAAGACTCGCGGTGGTGTCCCGTAAGTCAACACCCTACTTCGTTTTGGGCAAACTGGTAGTATCTGGCCCTCTGACGAAACCATGGACTCCAATGTGTTGTGTTGTATTTTCTTTTACGATTTCTGTACTTTCTTTGGAGTCCCATGGTTTCTGATGGCTCCATGTCTAATCGTAGACGGTCATATACATATATATATATATATATATATATATATATATATATATATATATATATACAACATAAAAACGTACGCACACTACGCTCAGCGCACTTTCACCGAGGCTTCCCAACGCTATGCAACAACTCATTGACAATGTCACCTCGGTTGGGGGTAAAATGTTTTCAAAACAATTATCCAGCTCAGCGGATAGTTCGTGCAACGAATGCTCCCATTTATCTCAATTTATGACTGCTGTTTCTTTTCTGTCGCCCAATTTTATTCTTTTGCCGTCGCTTTTGAACATTTTTCTCAAATGGGAACATCTCATCGAATTCAATCTTGCGCTCTACTAACGCTCATCTCTTACCCATGCTGCCTTCTGGGATTTTACTTATCCAGGTGGTTTAGTGACTTTAGATTTAATGCAACTTTGCTATTTTTATGTGAACTTCCCCCTGGGCGTTCCCTTGATTAACACACTCTACCAAGAAACATTTTACTTTCTTGACGCTTTACCACATTGTTTGATATATATTCATGTTCTTACTGAGTAGTAGCGGTTGTTTTTGGATATCGTTTCCACATCTGCTTGTCGCTTACCAACTCGTCCCTGTTAGTTTGACAAAAATTTGTTTGGATCTTTCTATATCCTTCGCCTTTCAGTTTTTTTAATGAAATTCCGTGTGAATTGGACAACGACCCATCCATTTTTTTAAATGATATGTTTCTCATCTTTTCTCAACTGCAACGAGGTGCCAGTCAGTTTTGAACCAACATTCTGTGAACAGTTTTTTTGCGGAAAGCTAGTTGTGATTGGAATTCGTTGACCTATCTGCATCAGTTCAATTGACCTTCGTCACTTGAGATTCTATGTCCACTTGATTTCATTTCTTTTCAGGTCCATGCCATTCCATTACGAAGCAGCTGGGTCATGACTTGCGCCTACGCACCTTCAGGAAATTATGTCGCCTGTGGTGGGCTAGACAATATATGTTCAATTTACAATCTGAAAACTCGCGAGGGCAATGTACGTGTCAGCCGTGAGTTGCCTGGTCACACAGGCTACTTGTCCTGTTGTCGGTTTATCGATGATAGCCAAATAGTCACCAGCTCCGGTGATGTAACCTGGTGAGTCCTGTCCCTTCTCTTTCCAGTTTGGTAACCGTTGCGTGGACTGTATTCTGTCCCGACGAAACAGCTTACTTGATTTCATGATTGGGTTGGCATATCCGACTGTCGTTTGTTCATCTTTCTGTCATCTAAGCCATTGCTTTGAGAGTTACGAGTCAGCAGGCCATCTCCAAACAGCCACACGTTTTGTGGGATTTTCTCGTTGTCTATTCTTATTCTCACTATTACCTCCTACTTTTGTCTCATGGTCATAATTGTTAACTGCTCTGTTACTTCTGTTCGATGAAGTAGTTGCTCTCTATTCCAATGGTTGAATTATCGAAACCGTGCGCGCTGATACCTTATTGCCACTCAGTCAGGATACATGTATCTAGCAGATATAGAGAAGTATACGGGTGTCCACTGTTTTAGCACCGCCGATATCGCATGTCTAAATCCTTTCCACAGTAAAGCAAATCCACACCTCTAACCTTTTTGGTAAGCTTATTCTTTCCCCAAACATGCCATTGCCTGTCAACCCCGCATCCTCCATCTAGCTATGCGCAACATCCGTTGGCGTCACATCCCCGTACAGGCTGTTGATAGTGACCCTACTTCCGTTAGACATGGCAGAGCTGTTACCGTGCTCCAGCTGGCGAACGTCAGCGTTACACATTTGATGTCAAGCCAATGATGCTCCGCCCTCTGCTGAATGCTGCTGGGCTAATCTATGCGGTCTCAGTGAGGAGTCAAATGTACTACCAACACCATGTCCATAGAAGGCATCAGCAATACTCTGGCACACCGTACTTAGGTTTCGATGTCACGCGCTCACCAGTCGCTCGAGGGCTCGATATCCCGCACCTACACGGATTCGTAGCGGCGCACAATCCTTTTGGCCACCGGTTGAAAGCACACATCCCCTTGTAACCAGCAAGCTCTTCGACGCGTGCTTCATTCAATCACGAGGGGCATTAGCGACCGAACAAGTGATATTAGCAAATCCATATTAAGCACATGCTTCGACTCTGATTGCTGATTTTAGTTGTCGTCATCAGGTAGTCACTTTAGGTGATTATCACTCTTCCCTACGCTCATTCACCAATGGAGTTATAAAAGGGAGCGTGCCCACTCCCTTACTCTTTTTGCTCTACATCAATGACATCACCACATCTGTAAAATATGGTACGCAAATTTTTGTTTTCTGACGATATCAAACTAGTCTATAAGTTTCAGCGTGACAGGCTTCACGGGACATTAGTTCTCATTCACGATGATTTACATTCCCTTGCTTCATGCTGCTGCATATAAGTAATGAACCTCTCGGCTAAGAAATCAAGCATCATGTCTTACGGCTGCTGCATCCCCGAAGGATCTATCAACTTAAACAATGAACGCGTCTCTACACAGTTGTCCACGCAAGATCTTGGAATTAGGTACTCGTCTACCGTCAATTTCTCCGAACAGGCCCAATACCAAGTATGACGTGCCAGCCAGTCTATGTTCAATATATCAAATAAAAAACACACAACTCATGCTAGAGTTGAGCTTTTCACGCTACTCACTAGCCCCATCAGCGAATACTGCAGCATAATATACGGCAATATGAGAAAGAGTGACGCAATTGCTGTGGAGCAGCTGCAAAAGTCATTTACTAAACATGTGATTGCTAAACACTCTGCTATGAGTTATCGAGAACGTTGCAATGAACTTCATCTCGAACCAGTTTGGATTCGACGATTGAAGCACAACTTGTTGCAGCTTTTCAACGTCGTACACAAAATGATCTACTCCAACCTGCCTACGCTCAATTTACAACTTTGCTCAACTCAAGCGTTTCACAACAAACATTTTACACTGAATATACCGAAGGCTAGTACGAAGGTCCGCCCTAATTTTTTCCTGATCAGATATAGCTATTTGTGGAATAAACTAGCAATAACACTTAGGTCATGTGACAATGTGGCGACATTTAGTAACAGACTCGCCAATTACCTTGATCTAACTACCCTAAGCTCTATGTTCACATGGGAAAAATCCCTCGATGAGCTATTCCAAGATGGGCCCAAAACACATAACACACCAATGTTTTCATAACTAGGCCCTGGCCTCAACCATCCGACAGAATGTTAATACATGAAACGCATATTCCAATACTCTACCTATGTATGTCACCCACGCAAGAGCATGGATAATTCTGTACAAATAGATCTGTGCCGCTATAAACACAGTTTCTCACATCAAGAGAAATATACGTATTAGTATTATTATATGCTTAAGGGCCAATGGTGGTGCCGCGCTAGTGGGCCTATTGAATTTGGTTGTTACTTTATCAAGGCGCACTGAATCCCCGCTACTTAATTCTCGTATTGCACTAGAGTACTTTATTTCTTGTGTTTGGTCACTTCTTTTATAGCACTGTCTATTTCAGTTGTAGTACAGGCTATTTGGAAAGAACGCTTTGTAGATTAGCAACCAGTGGCAATGCATTTGGTCTGCCTCGGATTTTAGCTCTCACGCAATAACAGTTGGAACCACCACCATTGGTTCCGTTTGTTTCTGGATGGAACTTGCTTTTCTGCCAATTACGATGTCAGAGGCCAAACCTACGCACGCGTGGTAATCCTTACTTTACGTGAGTGGATTCCGTGATTCGTGATCTCAGTGAAGCACACACGCCAAGATGGCTAAATTTTACATATACCCCCTGTGCCACTGCGCTTCGCGAACGGTATTTTTCGTCTGGCTCTGTTCAGCCAGAGAGTCGGATTGGAACTCCGGAACGTCGGTAATCAAGTGTTGTTCTCAGACAAGCTTACCGGTCTACCATCCAGTTCCACGAGCTACGTATGTCACTGTGTCTTTGAATTGCAGCAGTATCCAAGTTCGCAGTGATCAATTCTCCACCAACGTGACAAACGGTGCTATCTGAGCTCAGGAGTCTAGCTACTGAGGCATCTGCCAATGACCTCTGCGCTCCTGATTCCAGTCTCAACGCCGGTTGTCTATGCTTGAATAACTCGTAAAGGGACGAAGCGAGCCAAGGGCAGGCCATCCCCGGGAATATCTTCGCTTCAGCCGTGGCCCCGTGATAGCAATGGCCTACACTCGCTTCATCGTGGATCTTGGTCCGAACGACGATTACGTATCACGGTCCAAACACACGTCAATCCAACAAATAGCAATGACCGTACACAGAACTTGTCATTTGATCCAATTAAAAGCTTAGATATTGGTGCACAGCAGATTTTAAGCACCGTTATCAAACTGTGAAGTAACCTGTCCTTGCATTTTGGGACACCGACAAGTCAAAAAGTCGCTTTATGCATTCTGGGTGGGTGAATATTCAGTTGCTTTTTAGGATACTACAAATTTAAGCTCGACACCGCACATTCATATGTTATGGATTTTCCACTTGTACATGTTCGTCGATTTTGTTACTCTGTCCGCAACTACAATCACATCATTTGAACTCGGGGCTTTCTCAATTACTTTTGACGCCCACTCAGTCGTCCCGATTTTATCAACACTCTTCGCCTAGTGTGCTGCTCGGTCTGCTTCATATCTCCAATGCATCGGCAAGTTAACCTGTCTTGATGCATGTTATCATGGTTTCAGAGATATGTTTTTAGGCCTCGCGAAGTCATGTGAGCGCTGTTCTCAATATTCTCCCTATTTGATCTTTCTCGCGAATCAATTGCAAATTCACAGTGCGCTTCCGCTTTGGAGCACGCGTTTTAGCACGTCTTTGGTTAGTGATAGTAAGCTAAGCAATCGTTTCACGCTATACTTTTTGTGTGTTCTTTAGGTGACCCAATAAAGTTTTTTGTTTCTACTTCCCCTTAATGTTGGTTGAGTATTTTAAGTCACTGCGAATAAGTTGTCTCGTGAACCACTTTGGTCTTTGAAGTAATAATAATATAATAATGTGTCAGCTGAACGCCGTAACGATGCTTCGCTGCCGCACGACCACCACCAGTCGCGCGCGGGCTGAGTATACCGCGAGGACGCCCACCCCTACGCGGATTCGAACCGGTGACCTTATGGTTGCAAAGCATACGTGCAGACCACACGGCCACCGGTCTCTGAAGAGATCAGAATGAGTTGAACGTCCCTCGGGCGCTAGGGTATCACTTTTCACTTTGATATGATCAGACTCATTTTAACTGCGCTAGTTCAGTTTCCTCTACGTTCGTCCACATCCTCACCAAAACGCACTTTGGTTGTTTTTTTTAAACTCGTCTCTTGGTCAATATCATTAATTTTGACCTTTCTCCCTTTTTTTCTGTCCGTTACTGTGTTGCTCTTAAGTAGTCGGCTTTCACGTACGTTACCTAACCAAACTTCTGTGTCACAGATCAGACAGTTTTCATTGATTGTTTTTGTGATAACTCACTGGGATAAACATTTTGCGACTTTCTGATAGGTTACTGTCGGTTTGGTAGTCACTGTGATCGTATCGTGCGTTTGACAATCGAATGATTGCCGTTGAATCTACGCAATGTCCTCTATCAATTGTTGACGTTTCTGCGGAATTAAAAGAACATCGATCACTTGAGACTGGGGACGATGGCATTGGTTGTTCTTTCTATTCCCCCAACAGGAGGTTAGGAGCGTTTTTATCAAGCATATGAGGCGAATTCGTCTAACTGTAATGTCCCCTGTAGTCCCTTAAGACGCTACCTTATCATCTGATGTTCAGGTTAAGGGAAGACGCTCACGAACGACACATATACTGTACACATGTTTTGGGTTCTCTACAACACCTCCCGTACGTCCGAAATCTCCGGCGATTGACCTCATGAATTCACGGAGACACGTAACAGTTATCGTATTCCATATAAATAGCTGCAGATTACAACACGTGTCAGGGAGCTCTTCAGCACTTGAGTACCGATGGGATTGGGGAGTTCTTTATGGATCTCGATCATTCTCTTGCTTTCACTAATCTCACCAATTGCACCGCCTCGTCACTACCTAGCAGTGAATCCAACAAGGAGCTTCAGTCCCGTACGTGTATGGTGAATACAATCGAGTATAAAAATAGCCCCGGCTCAGGCTCTTTCTACCTGGTGGGTCGAAACGAAACTAGTCGTGGGGTATCAGTGTTGGAAGGCGCAACACCGAAATACCTCCATTTCGGACACCGTCGTTGTGATCGGAATGACCAACGTCTACTTCAGCTTTAACCGAGGTCTCAATAGAGATTGCGTATCGCCATACAACCACACGGTGGGCACTTCAAACCCAACTTTGAAATGTTGACCTGCTTAGTAATTGAGTTGAACGTAGCTAAGTTTTGTGACACCGACACACTGCGTTGGAATTCACCGCTGACTGCAGCATCAGTCTTACACAGTGGACTCACCTATAGTACTCTGCACCCCTAAGCATTCAGTGCGGTTATAATGAAACGAAACACGGACCATTTTTCTGTGTGCTGGAATTGCATTTCTTAGTTGGATTCACCTCACAATACATCCATCTGTTCAACCCTCCTGTACAGTTGTGAAACTTGGCCCATCAAGTCGGCAGACATAAACTGGCTACGTTCGTCCATGGCTACCTTCACAACTTAGCTTGTACTTGGTGGGAAAACCGCGTTAACAATGAGCGTGTTTGGTGTCGTGCGTTTGCTTCAGAAAGAGCGAGTGAGCCACAGCACCATTAGGTCACACATCAGGCTCCGGTGGCCGGGCCCCATGTTGCGAATGCCAGCATACCGACTTCCATTGTGTGCGTAACTTTCGTGGCTTGGATTTGGGTGGAATGAGAGGAGAGGAGGCCAAGCGACGACTTGGTCTGTTGATGTCTCCGACTGCCAGGCTGGGGTCGGACAGAGGATGGTACGTTTAGGTGGATACGCTTGTAGATATGGCAATGGGCTAACCTCAGTTTTCTGTTGTGTTGCGCGTTTCCTTCTTTCTCCTCTCCTTTGTTTGCCCGTACTTGATCGTTTGCTATACATTCCTAAATTCGGCCGGTGGCCGAGTGGTCTGCACGTTTGCTTTGCAACCATAAGGTCACCGGTTCGAATCCGCGTAGAGGTGGGCGTCCTCGCGGTATACTCAGCCCGCGCGCGACTAGTGGTGGTTGAGCAGCATCGAAGCGCCGTTACGGCGTACAGCTGACACATTATGCTTTTGACAAGGTTAACCATGCAGTGCTCCTTGACAGGCTGAGGATGTGCGGTGTTGGTGGTTCGCTGCACAAATGGATCGAAAATTTCCTTGTTGATCGAAAGTGGAGGGTCCAGATGGACAACCATCTAACTGACTGGTATCCATCGAGCAGCGGCGTTCCCCATGGCACTGTACTGGGGCCGATATTGTTTCTGATCCATGTAAACGATGTGCCTCAGCTACTCCAATCACCTTGTGCGTTGTTCGCAGATGGCTTGAAGGTGTGGAAAGTAATCCGCACACTCAATGATTGTGATTTACTTCAGCAGGACCTCGACCGCCTCTCGACATGGTCTGCAGAGGTTAACCTTCCAATCAACCCTGCCAAGTCACAATTTATGAGGTTGGGTAAGTGTGAGCACAGCCGAACGTACACAGTGACTGGTCAACCATTGCAACCCGCGCCTTTCGTGCGCGACCTCGGTGTACTCTCCCGCTGCGACCTAAAGTCCATTGACAACACGAATAGGCTGTACCAAATCAGCCTTCGGATGCTTTGGGCCCTCAGGCGCAGCTTCAGCACTTGGTCAGAAGAGATTGCTACTCGCCTCTTCGTCTCGGTAATACGACCAATGCTAGAGTACGGCTCTCCCGCGTATTGTCCCATCACCCTGGGCGAGGTGGAAAAGCTTGAACGGGTGCAGCATGTAGCCACCAGGCTGATTCCCAACTTACGAGGTATGCCATACGAAGACCGATGTAAGAAACTAGGGCTGTACACCCTATCTTATCGTCGGCTGAGGGTTGATCTCATCATAACGCACCGGATATTACATCTGAGTGATTACCCCATGTTGAGACAACTGCTTCATCTGCGCATACCAAGCTGCACACGAGGACACCGGTATAAACTTATCGTACCGGTTAAAGCGGGTCGCTCACCAACTCTGTTTCGAACGCAGAGTGGTGAATGTCTGGAACGACCTGCCGAAGTACATAGTAGAGGCGAACTCAGTGTCCGAGTTTAAGAAGCTCCTAGACAAACACCTTGCAGAGGCAAAATATAGAGAGCGGAACGGAACATAAGGAGTATATGTCCAAGAGCGACGACTGATGCAGCTACACAGAGAAAGCTCTACTCGCTGCTTCGAACCAGTATTCAGTATTCAGTGGCTTGCTAGAAACACTGTTTCCAATTACAATGGCAGTTTAGCGTTAAAATCAATTCGGATACCTTGCTCTTGACTGTGACATTTTGTTCGATGTCTTTTACTTTTCCATGTATATAACCGTTCGTATGTTTCTGCTCATATTGTGTTTACGACTAAAGAGACCAATCGAACTGTTGACATATCTCGACTAATGTCTCCTCTCTGCCTTGGTAACGAATTTTGCCTTCCTCTTTCGGGGTACGCGTGAGAGTAAAATTCTTTCTTAAAACCTTTTACCAACTTACTACGACCGCTGAAGCGTTCAGTCCTTTTTCGGTTAGTCCTGGTATTCATGCAAGATGAGGACACCATCTGATTAGGTTTACCAGCAAACTCCAAAGCACGGCATTCTAACAAACCTGCCGTGGATCTCATTTGCGTTACAACAGATAACCTCAGAGGGTAATTAGGTGGTCGCCGTTCTATTAATGCACGATTATTATACATCTTTCGGATACTCTTCCTCATCATAAAGTCATACTTTTGAGTGCATATACTTCTGTTCTCCTCTGGTTACACTGTTTCTCGATCTATCTACACCTCCACAGTCTGCAGTTGAGAGTCACGCCATATTCGTCCTACCTCCTCTGGTTCTGGTATAATCACTTACAGCGTCTGTGTTTGTCCTCTCATTTCAGCGGTCTGTGGGACATCGAAACCGGTCAACAAATCGCCAATTTCACTGGTCATACCGGCGACGTCATGAGTCTTAGTCTGGCTCCCGACAATCGTACATTTGTCTCGGGTGCTTGTGATGCGTCGGCGAAAGTGAGCCCAAACCTGATTTTACGGTTCATTGAATATTCACTCTGCATGGATACATAAAACTTTGTGCCACTTAGGTTTAAACGGAACTTGATAAATACCCTAGTGGGCCGAGCTGAACGTATCTGCTCGAATGACACGATTCCGGAAGAATTGGAGTGCATTCGCTTAGTGCTAAGGGAGAATGGCTATCCGGAAAGCTTCATCAGAGCCAACATGGGACATGAGAAGAAATAGCCTGTAGTTTTGACAATAGAACGTAAGCCAGTCTTCCTACAGCTGCCATACAAGGGTGAGGTTGCGACGGAACTTCTATCTCATCGTTTTTTGTTTGCACTCGGACGCACCTATCCAGCAGCGCTGATGCAAATCCAGTTCACTAGTATTCCGGTGTTGAGATTAAACTCAAGGGATAAGAGGCCTGTGCACACCAACTCAATATGTATCTACTTATTTTCATGCGCCTGTGGAGCGGGATACATTGGTCGTACGACACGGCGTCTATCTGAGAGAATGTAGGAACACCACCCGATCGGGCTTAGAACTAGAAGCGAACTCTTCAGTAGCCGCGCACCTAACCGATACAGGGCACGCCACCAACTTCACTGATTCGTTCAAAATTAGCTATCAGGCCCCAAAGAACCGCTCGAACTATGTCCGCAACCGACTCGTAAAAGCCACTGAAGCAATTGCCGTCCGGCTGTATAAACCGGAGCTATGTGTTCAGAGGAAGGTAACTAAAGGCTTGGGCCTGCCCTGGCACAAACGTCCGGTAACCTCTGACCCACTAGGTCACACGCGGTCGGTTGTCGTGGCTTAACAGACAGCGCTGTCAGCATCCAGTTAACTCGCTCTAGTAGTAACGACTTGTAATGTCTGTCTGCACATTTTGATTTGCATCTAATTGTATAAGCCTGAAGATGAATTATCGAAAACATATGTTCGTTTGCCCTGACTTCTGATCATACTATGGGATTTTTTAAAGCTATAAAGCACATTCTTGATTTGACTTGACTCTGTGGGTCACTTTCCCACATCCAATGCCATTTTCTCTTTACTAAATATTTGCTCGTTCCTTGCGAATTTTTCATGGATACATTTCTAGATTGCAAGCTAGAGATTTCGGATTTTCTCATCTGCTGTTTTATTACAGTCCCTGGAATAAGCTGAAGTTATAATATCCCTTTGTTTGTCGCTCCTACTGATTCCTTTCCTTGGTTTCGTGTGTTTAGCTAGTTTTTCGTGAAATCTCTCTTTTGGTCGGTTGTTCTGTCATTCTGCTCACGTTTGCTCAATCTTTCTTCATCTCTTTTCACCATCAAATGTCAGTCATCAAAGTACACTCACTAGCTTTACATCGTTCAACTTTTAGGCATCTACGCTTGTGTCCGGTTGACTTATGCCGGATCTTTTAGTTACTTCTTTACTTCACTATATCTCTGCTTTTAACTCGCACCTCCCATTTCTCTCCGTCAATTTGACACGAGAACCCTGATGACCCTGCCATGCTCGTCAATCGGGTTTCACCTCATTCTTGAGTAGCAACTGTTACCTACCAGGCCTCGGTGTTCGGCTAGACATTCAACTCACAAGGCTTTCTATCCCTCGTGCCTTATTCCTTCTCATCAACACAAATCCCCTGTTGCCATGGTGGTGCGTTCTGGGCGTATGCTCATTCACCTTAGTTCACAAACGAAAACTTTCGAATTTCGTTCAGGTTGTAGAATTTACAAAGTTGCTGCGAGCATTTTGTCCAGTCTACGGCTTTCTCCCAAATCGAATCCACGTGCCAACAACGGGGCAAATCAACAGCGTCCTCTACCGACTTGACTAGTCCCGATCAATAGGCAACGCCAACAACGTCTCCAGGACCGTGGTCTGTCTAGCTTGTTACCCGTTCTCGCATACGTTCACACGGCAACGCAAACGCGCACTTGGCTTCCGATTTCCCATATCTTCCATTGATTTCCCAAACCGTACCCAGTGACTGTCGTTCTGTCCCGCCTTGGATATATTATCCCACTTGGCCGGGTTTATGTTCTGGGTGGGAGGAACCTGTCATCGTCTATGTGTCTGTCTGCCGCTCCGGCAAGCCTTTCTATCCCCTTACTACCACCCATTCGACGTCACCCAGCTGTCGACTTGCCTGCCTGTCCCGAGGTTACTTTCCTTTTACGGTTTTGATAGACGCACAGACACATGCGCGCCTGCTCTCTGAGCAATCACAATGTTAGACGTCGCTTGTTTCCACGCTCGGCGCAGCTGGGATACGTGCTTTTTTAAATGGTCCCCACGATTCGACTGACTTTCTTGTCGACTATGAAAATCGCATCAGTCGAATAGGCCCTGGGGACACCGCGGGAGAATTGGAATCATGTTATCTTTACCTAGGCGATTTGAGTGATCTAATTTGCTGTGATGAGACTAGACCTTAGTTTGGTACAACTGTCTTCGTGTGTCACTTATGCATACAACTAAACCCGTTGGTGCTTCTGTACAATACTACAAACTTCGTCTGCAGTGTTGGAATTTTCATCCGAATTTGCACTTGTTTTTATGACAGCGGATTATCTTGCTGATTCTTACCATGTCTCGCGCATAAGCCACAATACTTAAAGGTTCGGTTAGAGTTCAGAAATGTTTTTGGAGACAATCGGTTAGTGTATTGGTTAAGCAGCGCTCTCCTTTTGACAAGAAAGCCTCCTCAAGCAGAACGTTAGTATTTACCGGCAACTCAATGAAATTTTGATGGTGCCATGTAGACGATAATATTATACTTGTTAAACGGGATAAAAATAACGAGTTGCATAATCATGTAAACTTCATTGACGAGACGATACATTTTACTATGGAGTTGGAATCTTGTAGCGGTACGATCCTATTTCTTGATTGCCTAGTTCACGGCCATATATCGCAAAGTAACTAATACTGACTAGTACTGCATTACTCTTGTGGTTTTCCGAAACAGGTTTACGCTGGGATAACCTCAGCGCTGTTCCATAAGCCACAAACCCTGTGGAGAACACAAATGGGTCGCATAGTAAAAGGCAATGGGCAAATTATTAGTGGTTATAAACGGTGGCCAGTCAAATGTCAGTTAGATTAAGTACTAAACCAACAGTCATGACTCAAAACCGAGTGGATAGATACGGTAGGAATTCAGTACAAGGAAGGCACCTCGGAGGTAATTCGGTGGTTACCAGACAAAAAATTATAAGTGTGATCTTCCAGCGAGGTCAAACGCTACGTTCCACACTGGTACACCCGAAGGACCCCCTTCCAAGAGATATGACAACTAGCTGCGTTTATAACATTAAACCTAAGCTCAATACACATGTGTACGTAAGCCAAACCGGGAGTGAGTTACGCATACGAATTTCAAAGCACAAGAGGCGCATTTCACTATCACCGACGAACGATTTTAAAATTCTGCAATATTAGGAGACTCGTCCATGGCTGTGCATTCATTAGACACTGGTCACAAGATTGACTTGGATGATGTAGAGGTCATTAAGAGGGGTATGCAATCAACACCCCAAAGGTTGATTATCGAGACGTCGGAAGTTACCAAATGGGGCAGCTGTGTCAATAAAATGGAGGGAGTAGAACTCCCCACTGCGTGGCGAGCGGTCTTGCTCCATCCATTCTGACGAGCGTCGCTGCGCGGGTCAGATTGTAAAGTACAACTCGATTCGCATTGTCACAACTGTGAGCTTATCCGTAAAAGGAACACCTGTGATTAAACCACCTGAGGTGACATCGCGAACGGTGACAGAATTGTCACGGGTATCGCGGTTATCGTCCCTGTACGCTATGAACTACCACTCCAATTGCACACTGATTCACCTGGCCTGACGAAGTTTTTGTGTCAAAAGCGAAGCGCTGCCCAACACTTATACCAACCGATTGTTTCCAAACCTCTCTGAATTCATGATTCCTCGATCGATTCCATGTATAAATAAATAAATTACTAGTTTATTCTCGGTAGCATCAAGGCACGGCTTATCAAGCATGATCAGTATTGCAAACAATGTTTTGCAGTAGGCACATTGTGTTGCATACATAAATGGGGAAAGTACATGTGCGGAAAACATCAAAGGTGAAGTGGCAATTGTTTACATCCATGTGGATGCGGCGTAGTGTGGAAATTCGTAGGTTGTGTCTTTATTCTGGTCGGTAATTGTATAAAATATGGCATGTTCACCAGTAACATACTGGATTTGTATGTCTGTATATATGTACGTGTGTGTGTTAGTGATTTAAGCTGGATAACTTTCCTTCCACTTTAATTGGTTTGTGCGAAGGCGAAGACTCCCACACGCACTACTTGTCAGCCGAAGCTGCCGGATATCTCGGCTCTCACCGAGAAGGCATGTTCTGACGGTTCGCTTGACTCTGCTCAAAGCGAAGAAGCGTCCTGGGACCCTGCTCCCGTTATCAAGAAGAAAAAGCAGACCAAATCTGCCATAAAGCCTTTCTGTGGAATCGATGACCCGAAAAAATGTAAGACATCGACAATGGAGCGAAAAACATATGCTGCCGTTTCTACCTCATCGGAGGGGATAAAGACAGTCCCATCACCAGTGATGAAGCAACCTACTCCAAGTGTCTAATCAAAGACCCGTGGGGTTAGTACACCCCGTTGTGGCAGTTCTTTCAAGAATAGTAGCGTTATATTCCGTAACGCGGCTGTATCTACTGCTGTCCTTCCTGCTGATCGCATGTTGGACGACCTTCAGTGGTTTAAAATGTGCGTAACGAAGCCTCTTCCGCCTGGTTTTCCAGGCGTTACTGTCAGGAAGCTGATTGGGAAACGTCCCAGTTAATGTACCAAACCCGCGACCGCGGCTACTTCGTGTGGTACTCTCTGCCTCGGAAGAACGCACCGCTCTCATGCGGTTTGCGTTTAAGCTGAAAGGGACAAATATTAATGTTCAGCCGGACCTTCCGCTGGCCGATGGGCTGAAGCTAAGGGAGGCCATCATGGACCTCAAAGCAGGCGA